TTTTTTTTTTTTTTTTTTTTTTTTTTTTTTTTTTTTTTTTTTTTTTTTTTTTTTTTTTTTTTTTTGTAAATTTCATACATCAATGAACAGTTTCTTATATAAAAAAAAAATTGTATTGTATGTGTAAAGGAAAATAGACATAAAGAGAAAAATCAAAGATACAAAATATTAAAAAAAATATGAACAGCAAGTCATACCAAAGGCATCTGATCTATCTCTGGATCATTCTCATGTTCGACTACCCAATTGACTGCAGCCTCCAGACTTGCATTTCCTAATATGAGAGAAACGAATGCTTGTTAATTAATAGATACAGAAATGATAGTTATATTAAATTGAATATCCCAATATTATGCATGAAAATGGTCTACATAACTGATGGATGAGATGAGGCGGAAAAAGAACCAAAATAAAGCACTACTAATGCTTTGAGGAGCATGCTTAGGCCCTTTTCAAGAAGAACTTACCATGCACAGTTTTGTAATTATCAGTTAGCTCTTGTTCTTTTAGATTGGAGTCATATTTTTCGTTAGTACAAAACTCCTTTTAGGACTGGTTTTTTTGTATGCCCGTGTATATACTTTTATCTCTCTCAAAAAAAGTGGGCTTCTTATCAAAAGATCCATAAGGAAGTAATAGGAACATAGAAGTATAAAATATCTTCACTTTGGTTACAATTTTTCCAATCAGGAAAGATAATTTGATTCCATAATCCTTTTACTTCTACATGAGCGGATTGATTCTCTCTTTTTAGTGAGAAACTTAACTTTATTAGAGACTTTTTTTTTTTTGACAATGATAAGTGTCTGGGCCAGCTTGTATGCACAACTCAACTAATCTCACTGAACAACCGCTCGACCCAACTTCATTTGATTGACATGAAACACAAATAAAAAAAATGAAGTAATACAAATTAAAGAATACAGACAGATCATCCAAAAAAAAAATATATCAGCACACCTCAACCAGTCATAACTACGATGACGACGACAACAACAAAAAAGTGACAGTGATTCACGCTCCCACTACAAGCATACAAACGACCCTAAATGGAGTAGTTACAAAAAGCTACTCCAAATCGTATTACTTATGTTGGAAGAATATTGCAAAAGGAGGTTCATAAAACATTCCAGTAAGAGTCGACTATCAGATATTAGTTTACTAGAGAGTTCCAATAAGTCGACTATCAATACTTCAGTTTTGAAGAAATAATATTGCATGGGTTGTACACAAAATCTCCAAGCATATGACCATATTAAATTACCACAAAAAAAAAAAAAAAAGAAAAAAGATTCTTATGTTAGGCTATATTGAATCATTTAACAGGAAATTTGAAATGAAAATAAAAAGAAACTTGCATTCCAACTTTATAAACATCTCACCAGAATAATAAAGTGCACGGGTTGCTCGTGCTGTTGGGAAACCCATAGCTTCAAGTTCCTCCAATATACTCTTGTTCACCTCTGGCACAACCATTTCTGGATACAAATGAAATAATAGTAATAATAGTACGTTACTAGTTCACTCCAGGGGAAAAAAGTACCAGTAACCCAATAGAAAGACAACAAATATGCAGCTTGATTGCACACATGGCCTCTCATACCAATTTCTCCTTGCATAACACTAGGTTTTTTAGTTAGATGTCCTTTTTCATGATAGACCATCGTATGTAAAAGGATAGCTTCATAGAAAATTTTTCATGCATGGTGCCGACTGACTTGAAGGTACATGGTCTGGGGGTAAACTAATTTGAGAGATATACAGAGAAGAGAGGGAGATGATGGTGGTGGTGTGAACAAAGGTGTCTTGTTTTTATTTTTATATTAGATACAACTTCATTGATCAAATGAAATGCACCGCAGAAGTGGGAAGAAAAAGTAAGCTGTTGGGCATCTAAGTTCTTAGGTTGGTAAGTCAAATCAATTAGCATATTTATCGTTTAACTTCATGTTCACTAGGTTCGCTGTTAAGGCTAGATTTGTACGCAACGCTTATGAATGAAAACCTATAAAAAATGATGTTAGTGAGGTCATATTCAGTTTCTTCCTTTGATTGATAAACCCCCAAGGTGTTTTTCACTGAGTTTTACATTATTTTGTCTTAGAGCTTCTTTCTTAGGTCCATGAATGGCAGGAACTAAGAAGGAAGGAAAGAAGCGTTGGTGATCAAGAACCCACCAAGGGAAAATACTACAGAAAGGAACAATTTAACATTACAACCTAAGAACTTACGTTGCCTAATAAGGATGTCCACCGAACAAAGAAAATAAGTAATTTCTGAGATACCATTGGATAGTGAATGAAAAGGTGACTTCGGGACTCATTGTCCTGTTTTTGCCCATGAAATAGCAAGTTGGAGACAGTGTAACTGAGACGTTTTTTCTCAATAACTTGAACTCTAGAACTGGCATTGTCAAAATGGATATCCATCAGACAGCCACAAACCTTTACACCATTTAACCTTAGACACTAATTGTCAAGACCTGGGTCCGTTTCAGCAAATATGTTCTTTCTTTAACATCAAGCACACAATTCATTGATGAGTGCAAAGTTAAAGAACTGATTATAGCAAGACTTGTTCTATACCTTCAGACTTGCTAGCACTTGCATCCCCACCATCTTCTGACTCCGCAGCTACCTTCGGGGCCTCCAAGCTTATTGGTTTTGCAGCCTCCAAAGTCTTATCAGTAAACTCAGTGTGGCCAGTCCTTTTCGTGTGCAAATCACTTTCCTACTCCACCAAATACCACAAAAGATTCAAAATACGTGTTTCTACTAAACACAATTACAGATTCCAGCAAAGCACGCAAATGAATTAGATATAAAATCCAAAGAAACTGCCTCGGAATTCATACCGTCTTGGATCGGCAGGGCTTGCCGCAAGCAGTGCAGATGAGATTAAGCACAGCTTCAGTGGACTCAGAGAAGTTGGAATGAGAAGTGAGTTCAGCGTGTTCTTGAGCTTCTTCTACGGATCTCAAAAGAGCGCCACAATCCCCGCACTTGAGCGATAGGCCAGCCATTGATGCCAAATTGTTCGATTTGAATTACAGAATTCGAATCGAAAATTGATGCTGCAAATCGGCGGATTGTTCCTCCTACCTCTCGATCCGTGTGATTTTTCGGTTGCTTGTCCCAAAGAAAATGCGAAAAAATTGGCTGAGAACTGAATTTTGATCCTTGCCGTAAACTGCACCGCCCGCTAACTCATCCAACTTCGTAATTGCATTTTCTATTCGTTTTGGGTAAATCACATTTATTCACGTCCTTATGCAATTAATAAAAATATCCGATTTTTGCATTTTTTTTTTAATCCTTTTACAATTTTAATTATATCCTTAAAAAACTTTTAATAAAATCTTTAAAATTTTATTCTAAAAAAATTCTTCAATTTTCAAAAAAACCATTAATACCATGCATTCAACAAAAAGTAAAAAAATGCACAAAGCTCGGACTCACTTCTAACTACACCTTCCATGCTTACAATTTTTTTATTCGATATTTGACGATTCTATTAACATGGCTAAGTTCAGGGCATGACTCTGATACCATATTAGTTGATATTTGAGGATTCTATTAAAGTTTAGGGCATAACTCTGATACCATGTTAGGAATCACGACTCTTCATATTGGTATAATATTATCCAGCATAAGCTCTCGTGACTTTACTTTGGACTTCCCAAGAGACCTCGTACCAATAGAAATAGTATTCCTCGCTTATAAACCTATGATCTTCCACTAAATTAACCAATATGGGACTCTCAAGATATTCGTAATCAGTTGATATTTGAAAAATATATTAGTTATAGAATATATCTTAGATATTAGTAATCAGTTAATATTTTTCTCTTTATGATTTGATTGATAGTATTAATCGGTATGAAGATTGAACCTTCGATCCCAATTCTATTTCTGGTTTCATTAAGTAATAATATTTTCAAATCTATTCACATTTTTGAGTGGTAGATATTGTCATATTATGAATGAACGTGTCAAGATCACAATGTTGGATGGTTGAAAAGTACGACTATGACACTCGGCTCCATAAATTTAATGGACGTCTCTACTTAGGGTCATGTACTCTTCGGTTTGCAGTTCAGACTGATTTCTTAGGACTACTACTCGAATCGTTTTGATATTCAAGTATTCATTTGACAATACTCTTTCAGATCGGCTCTTGACTCTTATATTTCAATATGAAACAAAATTTTCAGTCATCAATCCCTACTTTTTACATCACCGTGAATGAAATAGAACAAATCTTGGAAGAGATGATAAAAAAGATCATAACAATGGCAACATTGTTCCAAAAAGCTCCATTGGAGTGAGCTCTACTGCATTCAACGCTGCTTCCACTGAAGCATCCTCTCTTTTGTTTGATCCCCAAGCCATGATTTTCAAGAACAAATGTTGAATTTGTCTTCCCACTACTGAACAAAACACACCACAAGAATGGCCCTTTATGGACCCCAACCATTCCTACCCCTACCTCTGTATGAGATTTGTTCCACAATAGGGATAGCGTTTTCTTGTCGGGAATGAGCGCTCGAGAGAAGGCCTCTGTTGGCTCGAGATATTCAGGTTGACAAGCTACAATGTGACTGGTTATCGTGTCGAAAGTTGGCAGCTCGACACCGCAATCTGGAGCGAAGACTTCTGTGAAGTTGTCTGAGGATGGATTGCAATTGACTGTGTTGTTGCTTGTGCAGTTTCCTTTGCAGAAGTTGGCAAATTGTAACGCTATGCACCCGAGACCTGCACTGTCGCTTAGACGAGAGAGCTTTGCAGCGGTTCGGTTTCTGTTGATGATGTCGACAAGATCGTTAGCTGGGTTTCCTGTAGAGTGAAGAACAAACTGAATAACCTATAAAATCCATCCAGCCAAAAGAAGAATGAAATGGAAATGTTTCTGTAACAGCCCAAGTTCATACATTACGTATTATCGTCGTCTACTAAAAAAGAAAGAGGTGCCCACACCCTTATAAGGAATGTTTCGTTCTCCTCTCCAATCGATGTGGGATCTCACACTCCAACTCCAACTCCCATCCCATAATGCCAAAACAAAGCTTCCAAAAAAAAATCATTATCTCGAAAGGGCATCGGCATCATGCCCCGCTCCACCCTCCTACTCATTGAAGCTTAAGCCCACTGCTAGTAGAATTTTCTCTCATGGGCTTCCCTCCTAGGTTTTAAAACACGTCTGCTAGAAGGCTTTCTCGCTAGCAGTTATTCCTCTCTCCAATCGATGTGGGATCTCACAATCCACTCTCCTTCGAGGTCCTGCGTCCTCGCTGACACGCCACTTGGTGTCCACCCTCCTTCGGGGCTCAACGTCCTCTCACTTATTCCTCTCTCCAATCGATGTGGGATCTCACAATCCACTCTCATTCGAGGTCCAGCGTCCTCGCTGACACGCCACTTGGTGTCCACCCTCCTTCAGGGCTCAACATCCTCTCACTTATTCCTCTGTCCAATCGATGTGGGATCTCACAATCCACTCTCCTTCGAGGTCCAGCGTCCTCGCTGACACACCACTTGGTGTCCACCCCCCTTCAGGGCTCAACGTCCTCTCCAACCGTTTGAGCATCAATTCCTTCAATCGATATAGGATGTCACATCAATTCCTTCAAGAAATGAAAACTATAATCACAATGTTAGATGAACACGACTCTCCACAGTGATATGATATGGTCTACTTTAAGCATAAGCTCTCATGGCTTTGCTTTGAGCTTCCCAAAAGACCTCATACCAATAGAGATAGTATTCCTCGATTATAACCCACGATCATTCCCTAAATTAGTCCACGTGCCGCTTTCATCCACCAACACACACAACTATGTTATTCATTAGGAAGCAACAACCTGAATTTGCCAAACAAAGACCAAATAATTCAAACATTACGCCTCCGGTTGCACGTACCTAGACTAATCTCACGGGCAACTGCCCAACCCTACGACCACTCTCAACAAGCTTGAATACAAACAACAAAACACACCACCATTCACAAAACAGATGAATCACAACCTCAAACAAATCAAAACCCATCACATTGTCAGATTCAGGCAAGAAAAAGGAAAATCAAGCAATAATCATACCATGGTACTTGGAGGAAACAAGAACAGCAAGCAAAACAGAACAGAAACCAAAGCAATTGAGCAAACAGAGCTTCTTCATCATCATTGCCACAAACAATAACTGTACAAAGAAAAGGAAGAAAAAGGGGGTTTGCTTTACAGTGGAAGGGGAAAGAAATGTGGCAGTGGGGAAGAAAAGAAAACCCTAGTTGGGAAAAAAGGGTGCGATGGGGAGTCAAAATTGAGCAAGAAAAAAGGAAGCGAAGGGATTTATTGATCAAATTGTTGCAGAGGTTGTCGGACAGGACGAGTAAAATTTTCTTTTTTAAAATTAGTATTTTTAAAAATACAAAAACATTTTTATTAAATTAGCTACCGCAGCTATTAATAATAGGAGTGTACGTGGTCTAGGTTGGGATGGGAGTTGCGTTCTTTTTCGGATCCCACTGCTAAACATAAGGGATAGGGGGAAGGTGACCGGGCATAAGGGATAGGGGAAGGTAACCGGGCCTATCATATCAAAAGGGTTGTCGAAAGAGAACTCAAAAAGGGATAGGGGGAAGGTGATCGGGCCTATCATATCAAAAGGGTTGTCAAAAGAGAACTCAAACTGAGACCGGGGGAGCACACCCTCATTGGACCATATTCAATGGGGATGTCAGGCTTATGTACGTACACGTACTTTCAGAGGGGATCTTCGAGTCGCGTCTCAACCATTTCAGTTTGTATAATGCACCTTTCGGTTGTGGCCTGCCCTGGGAGTTAGCTTGGATTAGATTTTTGGGACAGAGCACATACCTCAGACCCCCCAGAACCACAGGGGCCAACCTCCAAGCTTTTCATGAGCACCGGTGCAAGTAAAATAAGAGAGGATCACGTCTTAGGTATTCAAATCAGAATGGAAATTTTTTTGTAAATCCCCGAGAGGAGGTGGGCTTTCCTATGGTAGTCCCGCGGCGGCCTCAAGGAATAATTGCAGTGTCCACCTGAATGAAGGAGAGTCTTCGGACTAGCATCAGTACTACTGTGGCATACCCATTAATACGGAAAAAATTTTAATATATTTTATTTTTCTCGTGTTAAGGTTTTGCCCATGAACCCGAAACCGAATCAATTCAATTCGGGTTCAGAAAAATGAACCCAACCCTCCTACCCGAAATGCTAATCCAACCCAACCCAATCCTTATGGTTCGGGTTGGTTTGGTCCGAGTTGTCGGGTTGAATGTACACCGCTATTATTAATACTATTTTCTTTATGGAACATTCTAGACGCACTATCATCATAACATACACATCAGCTCGAAACCCATCTTCCACTGGTACGGTTCTCCGAACGCCGGTTCTGCAGCACTTACCGGAGCTCACTTACCGCCGTTTAGCTCACAACCTTTATCCATGGCGTCAATGTTCTTGACTGTGAACCCCTTTGTAAACAAAATAGATTCACGCACTTTCTTGAATCAGAGAATGCAGAGTAATTCCTTATCTTCTTCCCTTATCTCTACCCCAATTCCAGTTTCTTCTTTCTTTCGTCGTTGATTTTTGTTCGCATTGATTCTGTGTAGGCACTCGTAGAACTTCCCTTCAAGTCCGCGCTGTATCCAAGAAATTGGAACCCGCCAAGGTCTGTAACTCTTCTCCCATTTTCAGGGGTTTCTATTGAGATTTGAATTGAAACCTTGCAGATTTTGGCTTCGATTTTTCGATTAGTGGTCTGGTTTGAGTTAATGGCGTTATGTTTAATGGCTTTGCGTTTGTAACTGTGGCTCTGTAGGTTGTTCCACAAGGGGATAGAGTCCTCATTCGGCTCGAGGAGCTTCCTGAGGTATGAACTTTGCCATGTTCTTCAATCATTTTTTGCTTTCGTGTTCTTATGTGATATCTTGTTCAAGTTCCTGAAAGGATGAAATGAAATAGGACTTTGTAGCTTCCATTATATCCTTCATGTCATAACTTAAACAACCATGGTAGTGGCATTAATTTGGAAATGCATTGTTTGGTGAGGGCTACCGGATCGGGGAATCCTAAATAAGCTCGAGTCAGTGTGTTAGTGGTCATTGAGGAATACTTTGGCTTAGAAGGTGGTTCCCCCTTCTCACGTAAAAGCGATTAGAATTCGAACATGCTGTGTTTTACTGGGAAGGATTGAACCATGGGAACGAATCTATAGAG